TTAAATCAGAATGATGTATGACTGAGATTAAAAGAAACAAATCACACGGATTAAGAAAACAAATCCCTTTAAAATATTAAAATATATAAATTTAGGGTAAATCAGTCTTATTAAAAGATGTGCATTCCTATACAAAATGTTGTGCATTCCTATACTGAATGTTGTGCATCAATAACTTCATTGTTGTGCATTCAAACCCCGCCAAAAATTCATACAGTGAACATCCAATGTTCTACGATGCATTGAGCTATGTGCTATAATGCACAACTCCCTAGCCTATAGTGCACAACTTGCAACACTAGGTTGCACAATCAGCACACACGAATGCACAATCGTACTACCCAGGCATTTATACATATACACGACAATCCAAATATAGACAATATTATACTCAAAAGAACAAGCGAAAAAAAATAAAAAATACTTATTAGTTTGCATGGGCGAACACTCAATCAATGAGGTTATACTTAATGTGTGTGGGTTTTGTACTTAATATGCATGAGGTTGTGCTTAAGATCTAACACTTAAGGTGCGTGTTTCTATCACTTAAGGTGCGTCATTTTTAGCTATGCTTCTTTCTTCCAGACACGCGCGCGTTTTTTTTTTTTTTTTTTTTTTTTTTTTTAATTTTCATTGATTTGAGCCGTTGATCTAAATTTGACCAACGGCTCAGATCTAACCGCACAACCGCACGGGAAGCTATACCCGCACCTGAACCCTTCCCTATATATATATATATATATATATATATATATATATATATATATATATATATATATATATATATATATATATATATATATATATATATTTATTTATTTATTTGTTTATTTATTTATTTATTTATTTATATATATATATATAGGGAAGGGATCAGGTGCATTTGTTGCTTCCCGTGCGGTTGTGCGGTGGATTAATGTGCTTGAGGTTTATACCTAATGTGCGTGAGTGTTATGCTCAATATGCTTGAGATTTGTACTTAATGTGCGTCATGTTAATATGCGTGAGTTTTGTACTTAATGAGCCAGAGTATTGTGCTTAATATGCGTGAGATTTGTGCTTAATGTGCGTGAGTAATAAGAGAATTTTCAACAATCTGGAAACATTAATCCGAGGAACCTCTTGCAGACCAATCACCAGTAGATCAAAATTCTCTGTTTCTTTCCACTAGTTTTTCTATGTCCTCCATACTCACCTTCACCATAGCAGAATAAATCAATTAATTAATAAATAAATAAACAAACCTGACATGATGGAATTGAAGCAAACAACAGAAGTTCCAGATTCTCGCACCAAGATCGGTCTGCATAGACCATTGATAAGGATAGAATTTGTGTATTCACTTTGGGAAGCTTTTATTTCATTGTAAACATCAGTAAAGCAGATCGAGCAACACACTATTATAAGCAACCCAATAATCGAAGTTATTCAGAAGCAACTCACAGAGTGCTGGGGATGGGGAAGAAGCTGATAACCATATTTTCTGCTGCATTTTACACATTCACGCACATTAAGTACAAATCTCAGGCACATTAGACACAACACTAACGCACATTGAGTACAAATCTCACGCACATTAATAACCGCAAAACCGCACGGGAAGCATTCAACCGCACGGGAACCTTTCACTATATATATATATATATATATATATATATATATATATATATATATATATATTAAAAGAGTGCTATTCACAAAATGATTTTATTAAAAGTATCAAACAATTAAAATTTTGAAGTATTCATTTCTTTTCATTTTCCTACCCATTTTATAGAAAATGAACCAAACACACAAAGACAGTTTTCCATTGTTTAGTCAAACATCAGAAAGGAAAATGTTTTCTAGAAAATGACTCATTTTCCGGGTTTCCAAACGCACCCTTAATTGAACAGAAACTAATTAAAGGTTAAGTGTGTTACACGAGGGCGGTGCGAGGCTGCTTTCCGGGTATTGATGAGAACGATTGGAGGGCTTTTCGCAAGATGGTAACAAAGGATGAAGTTCGCGAAACGGTCTTTGGCATGAGTCCTTTGAAGGCACCAGGGCCGGATGGACTGCATGCGGCATTTTACCAATGTACTTGGGATGTGGTGGGAGATGGTGTCTATGAGATGGTAAAAAATGCTTTCGACTCGGGGAGTCTATCGCCTGGAGTTAACGAGACTCTTTTGACACTCATTCTGAAAGTCGGGATGCCAGAAACTATCAAGCAGTTCCGGCCTATCAGCCTTTGTAACGTGTCCTACAAAATTATTGCCAAGACTTTAACGAATAGGCTCAAGGCGATTTTGCCCAAAATTGTTGGCCTGTTTCATAGCTCTTTTGTTCCGGGCAGACAAATTTCAGATAACGTGATTATGTACCAGGAAGGCATGCATTCGATGCTCGTAAAAAAAGGAAAAAGGGGCCTGATGGCCATTAAAATCAATTTATAAAAGGCGTACGATCGCCTCTCGTGGAGTTTTATTTATGACACTTTGCTGGATGCAGGTTTTAATGATGACTGCACGCGCATTATTATGGAATGCGTGCAAATGACGTCAATGTCAATTACATGGAACGGTGTCAGGTTAGCAAAATTTCGTCCAGGAAGGGGAATTAGACAGGGCGACTATAACACCCCTAATTTTTAAAACTTTTAAAAGCGTATATAAATAACGTAATCTATTATTAAACATCCAAACAGAACATAAACTATTCATGAGAGTCGGGGTGCTATGCTACACCTAGGTTTGAGAACCTAGGTGCACAAGCTAAACTAACTAATACACAAGATCCTTAAGTCCAAAACACAAGCCAAGGCACGCAAGCCATCATCAGTACCAGTACTAACTAAACTTAGGCTACAATTCCAACTAGCGCACTCCTTAGTTACTGATCATCACCTGAAAAACATGTCATAGCAACTGTCATCGAATAATGCTGGTAACCCACTCCCCCGCGTTAAGAACAATATAGGTAGATATATGAAAATCATTTTGAAACCGGAATACATATATAACCTAAGCAACTCTAGCTTTAAACCAAGATCAAGACTCAAGACACAACAATAGACTTGACACTATAGGACGATCATAAAGACTAGCATGCATCCTAAGCACACAAGACAAGGCGTAATAGACAAGCAAACTCATAAATAGCAATTAAAGGCAACAATGGGATCCAATGAAATTCAATTAGCAAGTATTCATCAAGCACACAATCCATCTTTCAACCTTATACCAAGTTCCAACATTTACTCCTCTCCATCCTTATATCAGTTCCAACCTGTACCTCTAGGCCACCCTTATATCGCCTCCCTTATTCCTCCGGAGCAACTACATGCCCCACACCAAAACCACCAACAAGTCCACCAACATGGTAGCACCAAAGTGCCATTCGCATGATCCGTGCCTCTCGCACCACTACCAAGGGGTCAGCGCATATAGCTCTGACATGGCACCGTGGCGCTTATACCCTGACCCAAGCCTTTAGCCAGCAAGTCTAAGGGGTGGTCCGTGCCTTTAGTACGATAACCGAGCATTCGTTGTGCTATCCGCTAACAATTTATTTCCACCGATCACAATCTCATCATCATCAATCTCAACCATCATTGTGCAATGATAACGACACCCATCATCAATCAATCAATCCACATATAATCAACAACAACAATCAAGGTATAATAGCAACGTAACACACTACACATAAATTCCTAGAACGGTACTCGAAACATCATATGAGATTCATAAACATCGAACGGTGTACAACGGGGCACAACGAGACACGGGGAAACGATAAACGGGGAAAAACAACCTGCCGCACCACCTCGTTACAGTGGGTGGGAGGCGGGTGGAGGAACACCCGCCGGAGGGACGGCCACATTATATTCCAGCGGGTGGCCGGCGGGCAGCCCTGCCCGCCGACTGCCCGTTGGAATTGGGCAACCTACCCACGGGTAGGTGGTGGGGACTCGCTCCCCCCCACCTGCCCCCACTGGTACAAAGGTGTTTATGTGGTTCAGTGTTCGTTCGTGGTACCCAAATCCATATCCAAACACATCCCAACACGTAACAGCAACACCACGGATTCGATTAACAAAGATTGAATCAAGAATCATTCCAATTGCGTTCTAACACGATTCCTAAATGTGCCAAGAGTCGACATCAATCATATAACGGTTCAGGAGCATCTGGAACCTCAAGAACATCAAGAAATCTATATGCAAAGCCCTAACGACAAGTCCTAAACTCGAATCAACACCCGAGCATGCATAAACCCACCCAAGAATACAAAGAACATCACAACACGAGATTCACGATATAAACCCTAGGGACAAGCTCTAGACATAATTAAATACAAGATCATACTAATAATCACACAGGGTCATCAAGAATATCAAGAATAGCAATAATTCACCATATAAACCTAGAGACAAGCTCTAACAAGATATACATACAAAATCACACAAACAATCATTCAATCGGAGCCAATCAATAAACAATAGCAAGGAAAATAGGTTTTGTAAGACATGGGTTACCTCTTAGCCCTAATCGATTTCCTCGGCTACTAAGGTTATTTCATAAGATTCTTCTCCCAATCGATCTTCCTAAGCTTGATGGTTGGAGAAATCCTTGGCTGGATCTCCTGAGAGGTATTTTCGAGTAAGAGAGAGGTGAGGAGAATTCTAACTGCTTCATAACCTTCTATATATATGTTTAAGGGAAAACCTATTCAGGGTCTGGATGATAAAGCCCACTTTTCTTTTCCCTTGCAGGCTTAAGGTTCTAGTTCAGGCAAAGGTTCACGATCCTTTGAGGACCGCATAAATTAATTAAGAGAATTATAATTGAATTAAATCCTTTTTTATTATTTTAATTAACAAAATTAATTTAATAATTAATTTGGGTTTGAAGGCCGTAACACGGGGTGTTACACCCTCCCCCCCCCCTTACAAGAAGCTTTGTCCCCGAAGCTTAGATGTGGCGAGGTCTATCCTAATTTTCTTAGCCTAAGGTCTAGTTTATGGTACCTTGAGCGAACAGGTCGGGGTAGAGCTCTCTCGTTGCGCTTCCGAGCTCCCACGTTGCTTCCTCTCTCTCACGATTGGACCAAAGGACTTTGACCATCTTTACAGTCTTCCGGCGGGTTTCTCTTGTCTTTGTGTCCAGGATTTTCATAGGCTTCTCCTCGTAGGATAGGGTGTCATCCAAGCACATTATTTCAGGTTGGAGCACATGAGTCGCATTATGTACATATTTCTTTAGTTGCGACACGTGGAATACTTTGTGTGTCTGCTCTAGTTCGACTGGCAACGCGAGGCGATAAGCCAGGTTCCCGACTTTCTCTAGGATCTCGTAGGGGCCGATAAATCTAGGGCTTAACTTCCCTTTCTTCCCGAATCTCATTACACCCCGGGTGGGTGAAACCTTTAGCCAAACCTTTTCCCCCACGGGGAATTCAGCTTGTTTCCTCCCTAGATCGGCGTAGGACTTCTGGCGGTCTTGTGCGGCCTTCATTCTCTCTTGTATGTGTCTGACCTTTGTTATGGTGTCTTGTAAATACTGTGGTTCTAGAGTTACCGGGTTGACCATGTCTTCCCAACATATGGGAGTCTGAGACTTTTGTCCATACAAAGCTTCGTAGGGTGTCATACGAATACTCGCGTGATAACTAATGTTGTAGGAGAATACGATTAGATCTAGGTGTTCCTCCCATGTTCCCTGGAAGTCTAACATGCAGGCTCTCAACATATCTTCAAGGGTTTGAATTGTCCTCTCGGTTTGGCCGTCGGTCGTGGGGTGGAAAGCGTGCTTAACTTTAGTTTTATCCCCATCGCCGTTTGTAGTGATCTCCAAAATTGCAAGAGGATCTGGGGTCTCTATCGTAAAGGATGTTTTGTGGGACCCCATGATATTTGACCACCTGGTTTGTGTAGGCTCTGGCCAGTTGATTCATTGTCCAAGTCTCTTTCATGGCAATAAACCGCGCCGTCTTGGTTAGTCGATCCACTATCACCTAGATGTTGTCTTTTCTCGTCTGTGTCGTGAGCGGACCTCCCACGAAGTCCATTGAGATGAAATCCCACTTTCCTTGGGGTATTTTGAGGGGTTGTATGAGTCCCTTGGGTTTGCACCGTTCAGCTTTTACCTTTTGACAGTTAGGTATTTGCATACAAAGTCTGCTACCTCCTTTTTCATGTTAGGCCACGAAAATAGCTTCTTCACATCTTGGTACAGTTTATCGCCTCCGGGGTGTACGGAGTAAGGTGAATCGTGCCCTTCTTCTAGGATTTGTCTCTTCAGGTGGGGATGTGTCATGGGCACGCACCATCTTCCTTCACAGCGAAGGTTGCCGTCACTAAACAGCTCGAACGACCCGTTCTTCCCTTCGGTTAGGCCCAGTTTTATCTTTTGTAACTCAGGATCTTGTTGTTGCCCGTCTTTGATTTCTTCAAACAACGTGGGTATGATCCTGAGGTTGAATAGTTGGATTTCCGAATCCACTTGTCCTTGCTTCATTATTTCTAAATTTAATTTATGAAATTCTCTACATAGTTCGTCCGCTAGTACCCACGTGGTGTTAAGGGAGTGGCTCATTTTTCGGCTTAGTGCGTCTGCCACCACGTTAGCCCTTCCTTCGTGGTATTGGATATCCAAATCGTAGTCTTTATAAGTTCTAACCACCGCCTTTGTCGCATATTCAAGTCTTTCTGGGTAAAGATGTACTTGAGGCTTTTATGGTCCGTGTAGATCTTGCATTGTGCCCCATACAAGTAGTGTCTCCAGATCTTTAGGGCAAATACTATGACTGCCAGCTCCAGGTCGTGAGTGGGGTAATTCTCCTCGTGGGTTTTGAGTTGCCTGGACGCGTATGCTATCACTTTACTATTCTGCATTAGTACGCAACCCAGACCCTTCTTCGAGGCGTCACTGAAAACTTTGAATCCTTATACTCCCCAGGGTAGTGCCAAAACCGGGGTTGTGGTCAACCTTTCTTTTAGTTCCTGGAAGACTAAGGCACAACTGGTGTCCCACCGGAATGGAATTTCCTTCTTCATTAGTCTCGTCATAGGTTGAGCCACTTTGGTGAAGGCGGGCACGAACCTTCGATAATAACCAGCCAACCCAAGGAAGCTCCTAATTTCTGAAACTATCTTTGGTGTAGGACATTCTTTAACTGTGCGAATCTTTGTCGGGTCCACCATGATTCCTTCCTTGGTTATCACGTGGCCGAGGAATGCCACGCTGTCTTTCCAGAACTTGCATTTGGAGATTTTGGCATATAACTGCTTCTCCCTTAGTGTTTGTAAGGTAATATGGAGGTGCCTCTCGTGTTTTTCTCTGTCTCGGGAGTAGACCAGAATGTCGTCGATAAATACTATTACGAAGTCGTCTAAGTAGGGTCGGAACACGCGATTCATAAGGTCTATGAATACTGCTGGTGTAACACCCCGTGTTACGGCCTCTAACCCAGACTAATTATTTAATTACTTACCCTAAAAAGAGAATTAAATTCCCTTAATTAATCAGGAAGGGTCCAGCATAAGCTATGGACCCTTATCCCTAAACAAAACTCTTAGTCCTATAAGAAATAGAATTAGTAAACCCATATCATTTAGATCCTAACTAGGACTCTTAGATATATATATAAGGACATAGGAGGCACCTAGAATTCACACCACAATAGCTTTCACCACACAAGAATTCCCAAGAATTCCCCTAGGAGAAATCAAGAAGAGGAGATCTTAGAGAAAGAACCTTTATAGCCAAGGATTCCAATTAAGGCTAAGAGGTAACCCATGTCTCAACAAAACCTATTTTCCTTGCTATAATCTTCTTCTTTGGCTCCTTATTCTATGCTCGTGTCGTGATAAATCTTTTATGATGATTATGATATGATCTTGATGTTGATGAGATGATCTTATGTGTTGATCTTGATAATCTTGATCATTATAAGATTGATAATTGTGTGTTGATTCTTGATAAATCTTGATGTTCTTGATTTTAAAGATAAAGTATGATTTTGTGGTTTAAATACGATTAGAGCCCTATGTTGAATCGTGAATTTCGTATTGTGTAATTCTTGGTATATTTGGGTGGGAATTCGCATATTCGGGTGTTGATTATGTTTAGAAGTCATCTTAGGATATGTTCAATGTGATTCTTGGTTTTGATCCGTTATTTGGCTACGTGGAGTCGTCGTTTGCGTTTAAAAGTGTCTAAACATGGTTTCGGGTTCCATAAAAGATCCCAGGACCCAAGTATTGAAAAAGAGTCAGTGGCGGGGTAGGGGAACCCGCCACCTACCCGCTGCTCCTAAGGGCGTCGCCGGTAGCGGCAGGCGACTGCCCGCCGGGCACCCGCTACCCAGCAGTCTCGCCGCCGGCAGGCAGCCGGCGGGTGGTGCTGGAAATTCCCAATGTGGGATGGTGGTTTCCCCGTTTGATGTTTCCCCGACCCTCGTGGTGTCCCAATGGACTTCGTTTATCGTGCCTGAGTCTAGTTTGATGTTTCGAGTACCATTCGTAGGATAAAAGAGTCTTATGTATTGCATGCTAGTTGAATTGGTATCCCGTTGACCTAGGTGAAAGATGTATGAACCCCTTCGGATTTTTCCTAGTATGTGGATGACCACGCATAAGTTTATTATACGCTTTCTCTCCCCGTTCCCATTGTGCTAATGTGGGTTGCATGTACTTGCTATGTGTTATGTGTGCATGATACCCCAATTTGGTTGCGATCAAATTGGCTACACGGGCAGTTGGATGGGTTGAGAACCATACCAACTGTTAACCAGGCCAGTTGCGATCGGTCAGGTATATAAATATGTTGGTCCCAAAGGGGGTGTGGTAAAAGTCTAGAAGGGGGGGGGGGGGGGGTGAATAGACTTTTAAACCGTTTTCGTGAATACAACAATTGTTGAGGCGATAGAGATATCATGACTCTTAACTAGATTGTTAGAGTCTTGTACGCAACGAAATAAATAAATACGAGTTGTGTGATTGTGTCAAGTATATCAACGTGATAAGCAGTAAGTAAATAAAGCAGTAAATGACACAAGGCAATTTATAGTGGTTCGGAGGTGATGTAATCCTCCTACGCCACTTGCTCTTATCGTCTAAGAGCAATTCACTATATCCACCACTTCTTGGTTCCTAGAAACAATGAATTTCCATGATCTAGTGCTTTGATCACTAAGCCCACACTAATCACGCCCAGTGCCTCCAACACTGCTGCTTCGGATTTCACAGCTCCGTGCTACTTTCCAGGATTACACAGCTCCGTGCTACTTTCCCCCCGTCTTCTACGATCCGGTCGACGTATCCCGTGATCTGGTGCTTTGATCACCAAGCCCACACCAATCACGCCCAGTGCCTTTGTAACACCCTGTGTTACGACCCCTAAAACCAATTAATTAATTAACCCATAGCCCAAGAGAAAGAATAAATTATAATAATTAATTAGGGAAAGAGGCCCACCGTAGTCCATGGGCCCTTATCCCTAAACCCAATCCTTAGTTCCAAAAGTAATAGAATTAGCAAGCCTATAATATTAGTTCCTAATCAGGACTCCTAAATATATATATAGGGGACTTAAGAGGCACCTAGAACCCCTGTAACACCCCGTATTACGACCCCTAAGATCAATTAAATCATTTAATCAATTACCCAAAAGAAAGAATTAAAACACAATAATTAATTAGGAAAGGCCCACCATAGTCCACGGACCCTTATCCCTAAACCCAACCCTTAGTCCCAAAAGAAATAGAATTAGCAAGCTCATAATATTAGTTCCCAACTAGGACTCCTAAATATATAAATAAGGGACTTAAGAGGCACCTAGAAACCCCCACCACAAGAATAACGCCCACCACCCCAAAGAGCTCCAAGAATCCCCCTAGAAGAAATCAAGAAAGCAAGAAAGCTTAAAGAAAGACCCTTCATAGCCAAGGAATTAATTAAGGCTAAGAGGTAAACCATGTCTCAACAAAACCTATTTTCATAGTTATGATTCCCCCTTAGGGTTTCCCCATATTATTGTGTATTAATGACTTGTGATGATTATTATTAATGATTGGTGTGATGATCCCATGGGGGATCTTGATAATCTTGATATTGGGAGATTCTTGATAATTATGATGTTTTTGATGATTATATGGAGTTCTTGATGATTATGTGTTGTTCTTGATAATTGTGTGATGCCCTTGATGCTTATGAGTTATTCTTACCGAATCTTGCAATTAGAAGGCGAATCGTATTCTTGTTGATATAAAAGTGATTAGAACCCTAGGTTGTATCGTATGATATTATTCTTGGGTTATCGGGTGGGGTAATCACATGTTTGGGTGTTGATTATGTTTAGAAAAGCATATGTGCCGTTCGTTTCTCGTATTTGATCCGTTAATTGTCTACGTGTTGTCGTTGATTGCGTTGTAAAGTGTCTAAGCATGGTTTCGGGTTCCACAATGGTTCCCGGGGCGAAATTGTGTGATAAGAGTCAGTGGGGGGTAGGGGACCCGCCACCTACCCACGGCCGGAATGGTGATCCCGGCAGCGGGCAGCCGGCGGGCGAGCAGCTGCCCGCCGGCGACCCGCTGCCCGGAACAGTGAATCCGGCGGGCAGCCGGCGGGTGGCCCCCCACCCACCGCCTACCCGCTGGAATTTTCCCCATCTTGGGTTCCCGGCTTCCCCGTTTGATGTTTCCCCGTCCCCCGTGGTGTCCCAACGGACTCCGTTTATCGTGCCTATGTCTAGTTTGATATTTCGGGTACCGTTCGTAGGTTTATGAGTCTATTATATTGCATGCTAGTTGAATTGGTATCCCGTTGACCTAGGTGGAAGAAGTATGAACCCCTTAGGACTATTCTTAGTATGTGATGGATCACGCATAGGTTTTGTTATACGTTTCCTCCCCCTTCCCAATGTGTTAATGTGGGTTGCATGTACTTGCTATGTGTTATGTGTGCATGTAACCCCGAGTTGGTTAAGATCAATCGGGCTATACGGGCAGTCGGGTGGGCTGAGAACCATACCGGCTGTTAACCAGGCTGGTAGAGACCGGTCAGGTATATAAATATTATATAGGACTAAGTTCCACTATACGGGCAGTCCGATGGGCTGAGAACCATACCGGCTGTTAACCAGGCTGGTAGAGACCGGTCAGGTATATAAATATTATATAGGACAGAGGTCCACTATACGGGCAGTTGAATGGGCTAAGAACCATCCCAACTGTTAACCAGGCTGGTAAAGACCGGTCAGGTATATAAATATTATGTAGGACAAAGGTCCATCAGTCGGTTGCGATCGGCACCTCCGTAATGTGAGACGGGGCAGGGTGCTGCGGGGCCGTGTCAGAGCTATATGCGCTGACCCTCATGTATGGGCATGCGATTGGTCCTGTGGCGCCAACAAAGTATGCTATGTGATGAGATATGGAGGAGTTGTGTTTATGAGTATATTGGGGATGTGACTAAGGGATTTATGCTGGGGATTGTTTATGTTGGGTTATGATTATTAATTATGCTCAGCTTTATCTGTCTTACCTATTGTGGATTGTATACGCTTGTTATAACTGTTGCTTGTGTCTAGCCTTATCTGTCGAGTCATTCCCGGTTTTAAAAGCTAGAGTCTCGTAGGATATATCTTCATGCTTCAAAATGGTTTTCGTATATCTATATATATCTCTATATGTATTGTATTTCAACGCGTTGGAGTGGGTTACCAGCATCCCTCGCTGAACATATATATTTGGCTTTCAGGCACAGAAGATTAAGTCACTGGAGTGCGCTAGAGCTTGGAACATAGAAGTAGTTAGTTTCCCTTTCGGCCTGCGTGCCATGTTTATGCATTCATTTCATTGAGACATTAGTTAGTTAGCCTGTGCACCTGAGTTCTCTAGCTCAGGTGTGGCATAGCACCCCGTACACTCGTACTCTGTTTGGGATTTAATGAGATTTCACCTTTATTTTATAAGTTTTAAATATCTTGAAAATCTGGGGTGTTACAGTTGGTATCAGAGCCTAAGTTTGACCCTACGATAAGACTCTTAAGACCGGACTTTAAGACAATAGGCTCGAACTCTAAAGTATCTAGGAACATAAGATTCAGGAAACTTAGGACACGCGGTGAGATTGTGAAACGTACACATAAACTCCCTTACCCGGAGAAAACTTTCCCCCATTATCACAAAGAAGGACACCAAGCCCCAATTTAACGTTCTTATAAACATTGACCCAGGAAGATGACATCATGGCACCCAACAGAAGACAATCAAGGACTCCAGAACCCGCCGCGCACGACCCCCTAACCCAAACGCTACAACAACTAACACAAGTCGCCCAAGCACTAAGCAACGTAGCTCTCCGCAACGACAGGCCCCCACCACCTCCGTCGAACGCGAACACCGACTTCGCCCGAC